AATGTTATGCAGTATAGTCAGTATGGTGGTTCAAACAGTTTGTTCTAAGCTCGCTCGATAGAGAATTGAATTCTGTAAAATACCTGCTATTTAAATCTCTGAAAGCATTTTTCTGATTTGAGTACCATTCAAAATATTGAAGAGTGCTGAGTTGTCTAACTGCGACACACTGAAAATAGGAAAATATTTGCCTTACTCGAAAAACAAATTTCATAAGAATTTTGAAAACATCAGAAGATTCACCGAAAAATTCTGCATCTTCTCACATATTATTCGAAATTTTACAGTTAAGTCTTCTAGGAAAATTTCTCTGTGCAAAAAACTGATAAATCCTAACTTTAATACCTAACTTTTGAACCTATTTTTCACAGACTATAAAAGTTTTTTTACTATAAAAGTAGTAAAACGTTTTGAATCCAGGGTTTTAATCTCGTTATCTTATACAGATCTTCTAATATGTAAACAAAGTTTCTCAATTGAAACCATTAATGAAAAAAATTAGTTTAATTTGAAAAAATTGAAAAGCCGATTAGACAATGGGCTAAAAATCTCAAAAAAGGGAACGACAAAAGTTTGTCGCAGTTCGACAACTCAGCACTCTTCAATATTTTAAATGATACTCAAATCAGAAAAATGCTATCAGCGATTCAAATAGCAGGTTTTGTAGAGAATTCAATTATCTATCGATTGAGCTTAGAACAAACTCTTTAAACCATTGGACGGTGCCTCATTAACAACGAACAAAAGTGTGTGGTAGTTTTCCGTTCGCTTGGATTAGGAGATGAACATTATCATATTAAACTACGCATGTATAATCACCATCTTCTCTCTCTCTTCCATACTTTTCTATTTTAAAGAATTCTTTGATTTTTTAACAACCAAATTCATTATTAAAGTTTTATTTTCATTGAAATTGTAGTAATTTAAGAAAATGATGAATCAGCATATGTTTTATTCTACATTCAATCTTTTTCAATAGAATAATCTTATTATTTCAGATTTCTTCGATAATTATAATCACCATGTGAAAAGTAGACATTCGGAGGGAGGAAAATCAAGAAAATTTGCTTACAATCTGGAACAAACTAAAAGTTTTAGTTTTAGTCTCATTCTTAAGTGTGTCAGATCCCGATGAATGATAGAAATATTAGTTCTACATCTTTCGTCGCTTGGTTTTTGTAAAGGAAATAAAAGCCGAAAATAACTACATGACGATTCTACCCAGGTAAAAAAATATACCATAAAAATCAATCGCGTATCAAAGTTTTTCGTACCGTACCGGGTTCGGATGGTATGATCATGGTATAAATGGTACGATGCCATAAATTACCATAGTAAAATGGTATCTGCCTCGTATACGAATCACCACAATGGTACCAAAAAATAGTACGAAACCATAAACTTTAGTACCAAAATATAAAAATTTTCACCAAGGTACCCGACTATTATCTGTTCGTTACTACTTTTCTCTCAATGTTCTCATCCCTTATTAAGGTGCTTTTTACGTATTTCGCCATTTTGCACCCTGACTAGGAAAATTTATAGGTTATTTATCACTATTAAAAATCGCACTCAAATGGTTGAATAGAATAAAAAACTTGGGTTGCATTTATCTGATATACGTTTTAATCGATAAACAGACGTATGAGAAAAACACATTTATTGGAAAATTTGATGCAAATGGATCCACTTATCTCTTACCGTATCAAGTGCTTGTAGTTAACTTTTTCGGCTCCTACCCATGTGAACATTTGCGTTTGAACAAATGCGTTTCTAGAAACTGGAAAAAACGCGTCCGAATAAATCCAGAAGGAAACATCTGGACGCATCGAAACCCGCCTGGTTACACATGTGTTTCGGGCCTAAAATTTTTACATAGATAGTTCTTACTCACATCTAAAAACATCAGATAAAACCGCATAAAAGAATAAAAGTTTAAAAACTAATCCGGCAAGCATGTTTAATATTATTTTAAAAGGTAATATATATTTTAAAATTGTAAAAAGAATTAATATGGTATCCCTAGTCTACTTTCCCTGACGAAGTCCCCGATAAATCCCCGAAAAAACGTGAAATTCCTAGAGACTTTTCAGGGATTCTCTTTAAAAGCCCTGGTAACTCCCTGATTTTCAGGGAGTGAGGAGAAATAATGAAGTCCCTGGTGATTCACTGGTGACTCTCTAGGGATTTCTTGGGAAGAATGTACAACATATTCACCGTTTTGATTTGCGTCTGCAGAAGTATATAACACGTAAAAATTTAAACAGAAACATCTTTTTTCTCTAGATTAATTTCTTTGTTTTTTAGATAAGTGTAGCTGCTTCCGCCTGAGACTCATCGTTTTGACGTGAGTTAACTTTTGAACCGAGTGTCTCGTCCAGTCGACGAGGTTCACTGAATGGCTCAGGTGAGAAAGATTTTGGAAAGAAAGTGCTAGTTTTTCTTATATAAAGTAAATTCAATTTGATAAAAAAATCGATGATCACAGGAGTCGAATTCAGCATTTATTCGTTTTGGAGAACTCCTTATGGACTGCCTTACAAATCCGTGGAGAATCTGTTAGGTGCTTCCCGGAAGATTTTTCCAGCGAAAGTGGACTAGGATAATAGACGTACATCGAGAAGTACGTGCTTCTTGACGAATAATATTTGATGGATCCACTTAACATCATGACGATTCATCACTACCTATAGTGCCTATCTTTCTCTCATTTGCACGCGGAATTCGGGATTATCTTTTTCTCGTTAAGGATAATGTATGATAAGAGAATTGTGGTTAACCAGGAATCGGTAGAAACCAAATGGATAGAGAGCACCATAATCAGTGAGAATGTGAGTTGATAGAGAGTGGCACAGTCAATGTGGACTTTAATAAATAATTTAGAAATGAATTTTCTAGTGTTTGTATAAGGAAGGAAATAGCCAAACAAATTATTTCCATTACCAGGTACTTGAAGTGTCTAAATTATTATTTTCGATAAATTATTATACTTTGCTACGGTATTGTTCACAATCTAACAAGCCTACCTTGGACTTTTTGTCGCGTATAAAGTAATCGTAGAAAAACAACTTGAAAACGAAAATAATGATCTCAAATTTGCTCTCACGTATATTTTGGTAATATGATGTTCAACGCCGCATATCTTGAATTCAACAAGAAGAGATTTTCCAATATGCGTTGCTATGTTCAGTAGGAGATTCATAAAATGATCAAACTATAAATGGATAAATATTTCAAACAGTACTGAGTATTTTGTAAACGAAGCATAGCGTGTGAATAGGAAAAAAACTGCCTATAATCACCGTTATCGAAAAGATGTGGCAGGGATGTTGCTAAAGTTGAAAAACACTATTTCCGATAGAGAGAATGAACGAGAAATGATTACTAATTGTCTATAAACTAATGTTTTTAATGAGAATTTACGTGAGTAATAAGTGAGTCGTGCTTTCGATCTTAGTTATATAGTCTATCCAGAAAATCAGTAACAGAATAGTAAATCAGTTGAAAAGTACTTCTTATAATTCTTCTAATGTAGTAAAAGTACATCTTATATTCTCCTTAATGTGATACATTGCAATTCCAGCGTACCATTAGCAACTAACACTTGATCTTTTGATACGGCTAATGCTCGTCCGGTTCGTTGTAATCGAACATATTCTTTTCTCCCTCCATTATCACTGATAACCCATAATTTTTTTTTTCCATTTGTTACAAATAATGTTCCTGATGTTGTTTCTGCACGAATTTCATGATCAATATCACATTCCCCAAGTAGTAAAGTATATTTTTCTGCTAAATCTATATCACATAAAGTAACATGAAATACTTTCTTAGTTGAATGATGATAATGTTGTTGTTGTTTAAATTGAAATAATGTCGCAATCGAATTTTTATATAAACAAAAACTTGTACTATTATCACAAAATCTTGAATATTTACGTAAATCCAAATATTTTGTATGTTCAAATGTTACAGGATTATAGAAATTTAATTCACTTGTTTCCTGTGTATCGGACCATATAGCTATCGTGTCATTATTGACTGACAAACGAACATATGACCAATTTTTTGCTAATTCAATGTTCACATCGATTTTATCGATTTTATGTCTACTATTTATGAAACACATGCAAGAATAAATTCCTTGTTTTGTTGCACATAAATACTGTTTTCGAACATCACTCCAAATTAAATCGAGTACGGGCATGTATCGCCAACGTGCAGTGATCTCTCTCGTTGCCATTATTGGTGTTCTTATTAACTCATAAATATAACATAACGACTTGGTCGTATCAGAAAAGTAAAGAAAATTTTGGCCATCACTGGCAATACGATCAACTTCGTTTTGTGTTATAATTGATGAAGTTTGTTCGTATCTGCCGCTCGTATAATGTTCAGTAATAGTTTTACTATTCAATTTAGTTTCATCATAAGTCAAAGAAAATTTATTGTCACCATCATCGCTATTCGTCAACGGAAGAGTAGATGCGGTTATATACTTTTGAATATCCTCCATTTTCGTATCGGTTTGTACGTCGATTGTTGCATTTGTTACAGGTATCAATTCTTCCACTTGTGTTTCAACATCAACTTTATCACCCAGATCGGTTGTATAACATGTGCAACGTGTCAGAATCACTTTCGATGGTTGTTTTGACATAAAGTAATAATCGTTGTTCTTGTACATATTTGTCTCAGGAGCACATTTTAATCTAATTAAATTTCGTGGAAATGTCGAGATTTTTAGTTCGAGAGTAGGTGTGAATATTTCTAATTTTTCCTCAAATAATGATACTTTCTTTATTTGGTCATTTATTTGTTGTATTGTAATGTTACTTATACCCTCTTGCGACCAAATAAAAGAAGCTTCTTGGATGATTGGCTTAAGTTCATCACTTATTTGAGCGATAACGTTCTAAATATGAATAAAACAAACAACTGATAGTGTTAATATCAAACATTTTAGATGACTGGTCCTTCTGATTTCGCACTCAAAAAGAAAAGAAATAAGTTTTGATAAATATTATGTTGGATGAACAATGGACCTTTTCGAAGTGATCAAAATAGAGACTGGATTTTTAGCGGTCATTTTCGATGTCGATCATGAATAGGATGATCATTTCGGCCATTGAGCTCTTTCTGAGTAGACTGAAAAGTACCAGAATTGCTTAACTGTGTTAAAAACTTGTTTGATAGTTAAGAACATTTCGGCATAAGTACCCTAGTAGCATTCCCGCTTCATTTTGCGGCAAGAATACAGCCTCATCTTACCGCGATTTTGACAAGAAATTTGAAACTTAACGCGAGATCGCTACCGCGATCGCACATAATCTTGCTATTTTTCCCGTATAACGAAAATTTCATGATCTTGACGTGAAAATGTTTTTGATGCGACCGCGCTGAAATCCTACTAAGATCGCAGCAAGATTGAAACGGGATCCAGACAAGATCGGGCAAAGGAAAAATCTCCTCAAGATCTTGCCGCGAATTACCCACGATCTTGCTATAATCCTGTCGCGATTCCGTCACACGCTTGAATCATAAATCGAACGGGATCACATAATGAACCTGATCAAGAACGCGATTACAATTATAAGATTGCGATTTTATTTTGCCAAGATCAGCATTTTTTCGTTACACGGGAAAACATCGCGTTCGCGGTCAGATCTCAGCAAGAATGGAACGAGAACACCACTAGGGTAGCTTGATGAATTCTATAAACTAGACGTATCAGAATCTGTTCAACCGAAAGTTTTTGATGGATCGTCGGAGATCAAGACTTTTCACTCCACTCAGGAAGATTTTAATGATCGAAATGATTATCAGATTCATGATTGGCATCGAAAATGGCAGCTAAAAATCTATGTTTCATTAGAAAAGTCTTTGATCATCTGGGAAGGCCCGTCGTGAATGAGAAATTAAAATATTACCTAACAGAATCGACAGCGTCACGGTTCATTTTTATCCTGATCATTAGATAGATCCTTGTGAATTTATTCCTAAAAGAACCGCCACGAGCTTTTAAGAAATTGTATTGAGTATTTTAACTAAGGATAATAGCAGGACAAAAATATATGTAAATTTATACAGCACAAATAATTGAACTAATCAAATGGATTTATCCTTGAGCTTCGAATCTACTGATTCATCATCAAAAATTTGATGTACAATAAAAATTAAAAATTAAAGGATGGTGATAAGGATTTTTATATTCTGAGAAGAATTTTCCACTGAAAAAATCAAAGTAAAAGAAAAGTAAAATAGTTCACAATTCATACTTATATTCGAGATGAAATTCGCTCTCTATCCTTAATTCAGTTATTTGTGCTGTATAAATTTACAAACTGAGCATTTTGTTTTATAAAAGCAAATTCTCAGTTAATTGTTAAGATATATCTTAATAATCAACACCTATGGAGAAAAATACTAAGAATCTTCAACTTTAATTTTTTTCTAGTCCCTTTTTCAATTTTCGTCTTCCACATTTTGAAATATAGAAAGAAAGCCCTACTGGCCCTATTATGCCACAAAATTGCATTTTTGGACAATAGTATCTAACTACAGCTTCGCACTACTTAAAAAAAAATTTTCTCAACCGGCCGAAATTGTACATATTTAGGTCAAACTGAAAAAGAAAACTAAACTGGAAGTGAATCTATTAGATGCGTAGATCGTGCAAACAGAATATGCATTGTTTTGATTTTAGTTTTGTGCAAAACAGAAATTGTTTTGGTTGAAAAAGGAAATCGAAAGTAATTGAAGATGAAGAGTCGCAATATTTTTCCCATAAGTGTTGATTATTAAGATATAAAACAAATTGCTCAATATATTTCTGTAGAGAATTTTATGAGACTTCTTTTGACAAAAGAATAATCAAAAAGGTCTAATGATCGTGAGAAAAATGAAAAATACTGAGAGGACCTGTCAAGATTGTCGCTAAATTTTCTTTATTCATTACTTTTGTTATCTTGTATAAGATTGTATTCTTCTAATAATGAGTATGTATGCTGATGAAAACATTCATTGCACATCGATATTTGACAGTGTTTACATGTAACGGGTGTAACAGAAATAAACGCACTTTTTTATTTTCGGTATATCTTCGTCGGATAACATGCGGTCGACTTAAATTTTTTTTTATAAGATTCGCCATGAAATCGTTTACAAAAATATCTCTTAACAAGTTTTTTAAAATGGCAACTGTTAGAGTTATAAAACAAAAAGCGAGGGTGACTAAAAACGCCAACTTCATAAATCGTACTTTTTATACTTTCTTTGACATTTTCTCAAACTGTAACTGAATTGAAGGGTTCGATTCTGCTGCATACTATTACTTTAAAGTATGCTCTTTCTAGTGCATGCCAAAAATTTTTAACATCAACACAGGCAGCTCAAAAAATCAACGTTTTATAAAGGAGGCAAAAAAACGCGTTTTTTGATTTTCTGACGAGTCAAAAAGAGTAAGCAAACAGTTCGTAAAATTCTCAAAAGTGACGTTGTCGAACTGATTACACTACGGGCTACAAAATAAAAAAAAATCTAAAAAAAAGCACGATTTTTGGCTGAGTTATGGAACTTTTCGTGGAGCGAGCAAAAATCTGCGTCCAAAATGGTGATTTTTTAGAAAATGTAAAAATTGCTCCTTGCTATTGCGGGCTCTAGAGTTATTCAATTTTTTTTTTGAAATCACAGTTTTGTAGAGAATTTTGTACTCTTTCGAATGGTCGTCTCGAATTTCTCCTATCTTAGACTGTTACGATGATATTTAAAAAAAATCATTTTTTGCCTTATGAAGTTGGTGTTTTTAGTCGTCGTATTTTTGGTTCCACAACTCTAACAATTTTCTTGTTAGAAAACTAGTTATCAGATATTTTTGTAGAGATTTCCAAGACGAATTTAATAAAAAAAAATTTAAGTCGATTGGACGAAACCCGACGAAGTTATAGCGAAAATAAAAAAGTGCGTTTATTTCTGTTACACCCGTTACATACGTCTGAAAATGCTTCTCCTCCAAAAGACACATGATTCTTGTAGTTTTGCAAAAACGTCTTAGACTATCTGACTATGTTGTTATATTTTAAAAATAAAAATAAAAATACTTTAATAAATAAATCAAAGGTCTTAGATTCAAACGGTGGCAATTGCAGGTCTTCGTCTCTTTTTGTTCAAAGGTTTTCACCAAAATGGACAAGACCATTGTATACTTAGATGGATAGTAATTACTAATAGAGCAATAGTAATGTGTCGCCCTTAATATGAACAATAATTACTTTATTTGAAGTAAGATAAATATCAATTTACGTAAATGAAACGTATTGACGATATTAGTCGTTGTTTACCACGTCCTTGTTTTAATTTTAATTTTTTCCTGTTTAGACGTTTTTGTTCACCCTTTAGAGGATCGATTTTAAAACAATATTTTATCATATCTAAAGAAACTATAAATGCCACCACTAATACTAATGCTATAAATGCAATATAACCAAAAGAACGATTAATTTGCTGGTGTATTTCCAGAGATGATGATTTTATTTCACAATAATCACCTGTATATTGTTGTGTTAAACATTGACAATGCCATGTATAATTAATATTCATACAAATACCTTCATTTTTACAACTTACATTTTGGCAATAATCGGTTGACCATTCACAATGACCACCATACCGTCCAGGTAGACACAAACATGCAAACGTTGTTGATGATGTTGTATTACATATTCCATTATTGAAACAAGTCGATGGTTTACATGGTCTTTGATCCAATTCACAATTGGTACCATTATAGAATTCATGACACAAGCAATGATAACCAGCTACAATTGAATGATTATTTACACAGGTACCATCATTTTTGCCTTGAAAAGGGTGATGAAAATAACAAACATAAAGAGTAGAGCCGATCTCATCTGAAACTTACATGGTGTTAAGACGGAGCATGGATCAAAAGGAAGAGAACAATTGATACCGATGTTACCGTTTCCACATTGTGGTTGTTGCCATATACCAGCTATTATTGGCGTTATTCTCGTTGAAAGTGTATTGATACGTGTTTCTGTTGTATTGGTTGTTTCATTTATCGATGTTATACTATCTATGAAGGTTGTATACTTTGTCGCCACTCTTTCCGTTGTTGTTAATTTTATTATTGTTACTGATGTTGTTAGTGTTGTAACTGTTATACTATGAGGACATGTTATAATAAAATTTGGAAAGAGCTTTGATGTAAGATTGTATTGAAATCGTTCTACTTTAAGATTCACTGTAGTCTCACTTGACATCGAAATTATCGATATATTAGAGAAACAATTTAATGGGCGATTATAAAGTGTAACATTGTCTCCTGGATTTGAAATTATAAGATTTTCTGGCCCTATGCATGTTATATCAAATACCTGTTTATTCGCTGTACAATTAGACAAAGTGACAACATTATTTGTAGCACTATCAGCTGAAGTGGACGTTGGATCAGAATATTGTGTAATCGAATTATCTAAAGTGCAGCTGACAAAATCAATAATTTAAAGAATAGAATTCTGTTATTCGAAAATAACAAAAATAATCGAATATAACCGTATGGAAAGTAAAACATAGTGGATTTTTTGTTTTGATTTTCAAAGAGGGCTAATATGATATCGCCGATGAGTTCCTGCAAAGTCATTCATCATACTTCAAAAAGATAAATAGTTATCGCTTTTTCATGAAATGACATCTCATTTTACGTTTTTAGAAAAAGTTAGACGATTTTCTAGAAACTGAAAAATTAAAAACTTTTAAGATCAAATATCATATCATGAAAAAGCGATAACTATTTTTATCTTTTTGAAATATTACGACAGATGTTACAGAAACTCGCCGGCGATTCCACGTTGGGACTCGTTGAAAATAAAGCTAAAAATTATAATGTAGGACTTATACGTCAATCAATATACATTTTTCGAAAGAGAATCTTACAATTAGATATGAGTTTCTCGTATTAGATTCTCTTATCGCCACATAAGTGTGTACGCTAAGTGACATACAAAAACCTGAATCGGCAGAAAGGTTATTTTTACTACATACTTTTACCGCAAGCACAGCAATTGTTTTCAGGATAATTATGCATTACTCCATAATAACTAGATGTGAAATTTCCATGTTGACAATATTTCCACATAAATTCGAACTCAAAACAAGTCTTATTTCCAGAACTGATCCAGTTACTTGTATCTCTACATCCTATCAAAAAAGAAAAGAAAGCTGATATTTGTATACTGAATAAGGTTGCTGCTGATTGCGCTTTTTCCGATACATATTTACCGGGTATAATATATCTGTTTGTTATAGCTGTTGTTGGACAAGTAGTTGTCATAACGGATGTGTAGATTGGAAAGAAAATTGAATGACTGCTTGCCAGTGTTATTGTCGTAGAATAATCGACGAAGGTTACGTCTTCTGATGCGAGTTTTGTTGTGATCGTCGACGTTCTTGTGATAGTAGTAGCGACAGCTGCTGCTAGTGAAGTAATGTTCTGACAATTTGCGATCTCTGTATATGAACTTGATGAAAGTTCATATGAAGATTGTAGTACTGTTATATTTACTACAGGCATTGTTGAAACACCAGGGAGATTACTGAATGAGCAATCGTAAAGTATGGCACTGTCTCCCGGATATGAATTTACGAGATTTTTCGGGCCAATACATGTTACATTGAATTCATATGAATTTACAACACAGTTGAATAAAGTAAGATTTCCATCTGTACTATTATTATCTGACGGTGATGTTCTAAACGGTAAAACTATTGTATTCACTGATAATAGAATTTAGCCAAACATCTGTTCATTTAGTAGAACGCGTTCTACAGTAGTTATTCTAGAGAATTCTGTGAGTCTGATCAAAATTTTCGTTTTTGCCCATTATTTGGCGACTGATATCTGTAGTTAGCATCAAACCTGATCAGAGTTGGAACCGGACCGACCGGTTAATGCCGGTTTTTTTTACCAGTTTAATCATACTTCAACCGACCGGTTGCTGCCGGTTTCGAATCACAAGCGAAATATGAATACTGTACAACAAAAGTTCGAGATGTCAACTGGAATCGCGCCAGCGAAGATGGAAAAAAGGACGTAAACCCCAGAAATGATCTGTTAATTTATTTTACATTTGTCCTATCACTGGCAAATTTCTGATGTAGATTAACACAGAACACACATTAAAATTGTTAATGCTGAAATAACTAGAACAGGAAGTAACATACTGCCACGAAGTACATGATTAGATTTTATTCAAATCCACAGTAATTCCATCTCAAGCTTTCGACGAGTAACACGCAGCATCATTAGGAGAACGAATAACAAAGAACACAGAAACTACACGTACAGATATTATCGAAAACATCTGTTCTTTTTCCCGTTTCTCGTTTTTAATGTTTATATATATATACATGTAGTTTCTGTGTTTTTTATTATTCGTTCTCCTGATGATGTCGAGTGTTTCTCGTCGAAAGCTTGAGATAGAATTACTGTGGATTTTAATAAAATCTAATCATGTACTTCGTAGCAGTATGGTACTATCTAATTCATTATATATTTTCAACTGCTGTGCCAATTAATTTCTTGTCAAGAACTCGCTCTAAGTACAGCGATGTTATTTTTTTAACGATTCGACAAAGTGAAAAGTTATCGATTAAGTTACAGTAATGTAAGTGCAACCTGAAATTTCTTCGTTAATGTTTGATCTACGATCTTACTTCTACTTTCGTGAAGATTAATATCTGGAAAATGAGAATCAAATCGCAACAACAATATTCAGAATTCAAAAGGTACTGTCTACAACAGGAATATTCAATTAGACACAAAGATGCGCTTAAACGAGAAAAAGAACTTAAGATCTTGTTGAGCAATCTAGAGCCGTTAATAAATATCAATGACTTTCAAGAATTAAAGCAATGTCTTGCAATAAGATCAGTTCGAGAAAAAGAGAGAATTACAGCAATCCATAAGATAAAACTCGTAAAATTAAATCATGGTTCGATCGGCCGAGATTATGATGCGTTCTCAACAAAACTTGTACGTAACATCTCATCGTACTCACTCACTCCCGCGGAAGAACGACTTCTATGTCGGGGATATAAGTTTTGCATCGAAAATCGGTTAAATAACTTCACTGATTTCAACACAGATGTTGAACAAAATGTTTTAATACTCGTAAAAAACTGTCATTCGTCCGTTCTCTCTACGATTTGTCACCATATACACGATTATTCTCAAGAATTGATTAGAACCGTAAAACGAAAAACCATTCGTAATACCAGTGATGAAGAGTTCAACCCTCTTAAATCGCTGAAAACATTTTGAAAGTAATTGGGAGAAGATAGCACATCATTTCTTACTCTAGTCGACTATCATGTTGAAAATCACGCGTGGTTCACAAACACGTGTGTTTATCGAGAAAATGCGTTAAAGCATGCGTGAAACACGATTTTTGGTGTTTCGCGCGTGAAATGACTGTGAATTCCGCGCTTTTTCACTTTTTTGAATTTACGTTTTCGGTTTTCGCGGTCGAATAAATCACGCGGGGGCGGCGGCCTACCTCATTTGTTTCACGCGTGAACACGACATGTTTTGCACTCGTGAAACAGGAAAAATAAATTTTTAATTCATTGAAATTTAAAGAAGAAAATTGTATGTAATGTGATGTTGTATGAGCCGTACACATTTTGGTTGATAGTTCTTAGTCAGTATTTTTAAAAAACAAATTGTTTTGATAAGGTGCATTAGTGCGATAAAATCGAAATGGCAGATCCGCAGCGGCGTAACCAGGATTTTTAGTCCAATGGGCAAACTTCTATTGTATCGCAAAAAAACGATGGGCAAAATGGGCAAGGTTTTTGTCGATGGGCCAAAAGATTTTTGGTCCAAAAAGAACACCAAAAAAATGAAATGAGATTCTTTTAATTTTTGCATTAGATCTTAATTCAAAAATAAACAAACAATTCTGTCTATAGGCACTCTTACATATATCTCTCTAAGGGTTTACAAAAAAAAAACCGCTTGGGTATATCTGCTAAGTAAAATTTCAATGGGCAAAAACTTACTACTAAAAATTATAATGGGCAAATCTCCAAATGAAATGGGCAATTGCCCATTTGCCCCGCCTGTAACGGCCGCTTGCCGTTACATATTTTATTTTCTGTCGCTTGAAAAGTTTCAGAAACTTCTTCTATGCGCTCTTTATATAGAGAGAATGAAATCAGTTAATAATTGATTTTTATTATTATTTTGTTTCATAGTGACACGAAATGTGGAGACACATTATCTTCGTGTCGAGATTTCATTAAAAATATCAGTTTTTCTTCTTCTTCAAAAACTCTAAGCTAAAATTTTAAACTTCTTCTGCTTCCTCTTCTCCTTCTCTCATCTTAAGAGAAGAGAAATCATTACTATCATCTCCAATCGTCTTCTTCTTCTTTTATCATACAAAGGAAGAAGAAATACTACTATAATTTATAACTAAATCTCACATTTAGTTTATATTTAGTATTCTTTTAAAATTATAAAATATAATTTAGTGTTTTCATTTGCGTTACTATAATTTAGTGTTTTCATTTGCGTTACTATAATTTAGTGTTTTCATTTGCGTTACTATAATTTCGTTCTGCGCTCCTTCACCTCATCAAATTTCGTCAATTGAAGAGAAGCCGATTATGAATTATTATCATCAACAACCATTAGATATTATTATTAACTGTTACTATTTCATCATTGTACATTAGTTTTTCTGTAAAATATTTTATCATAATAATAATTTGCTGTTGGTGTGTAAAACCGAACTGGAGATTGTTTTTGTTATAGCAAGTTATAGAGGGCTAACGTGCTACTACACACCCCCCTGGATACGCCACTGCTGATCCGTGTGTACATGGTTTAAAAGATGGATGTCTCTAGTGCAGAAGGAGAGAGATAAATAAAATTAGACTGCAATCACACTACACGAGAGTTGCGAATGCGGTACAAAGTTCTTCTGACAAAGAAGAGCTTCGTTTTTGTTTGGCACATGATTTCTTTTTAGCCAAATTATTTATGTGCATAGTTTTTTACAATCCAAATCTCGGAGTTAGAGAGACTGAATGCACAAACACAGTACGTGTGTACTGAAGTTTTAGTTTCTTGGAGTTAAATCTCAGAGTGAGCAGAAAGCACAAAGCTAATTATTACTTTGTTATTGAGAAATATTGGCACCATTGGTGACGCCGTGAGTAGAAACTATGAACTAACCGCTGTAATTACAAAGCAATCACTCTCTCACAAGACTGCGTTAATTATCAATAACTTGAGACCTGCAACCCGAACCGATCCTAGGGTCGGGTCGAGTTTGGGTTGAACATTTTGCACTGTTGTGCTATTGACAATAACACAGCAGTGCAACGAGAGGTAAAAAAACACTGATGATTCACTATATCAATTACAGAGAACGAGCTTACTAACCACACGCCCACTTGAAAAGGTGTTCTCTGCACCCTACATGACTCGTGCATACTCACCACACCAACTATCTCTTGTTGCTATAAAATTTGTATGTCCCAAAACGTCAATCGATCATCTTTTAGATGCTCTAAACAAGAAACTAACCCACAGAACTACAAAATAGGACATTCTTATGTCAGAGTCTGCTCCATATTCTCGACTTTCTATTTTTCTTACACACTTTTCAGATCTTGAACAAACAGCTTGAGAAAATGACACAAATAAACGTATTAAAGAACACCACGCTGATTGCTAGAATGCAGTTTCCTGCTTCGTACCGCATTAATAATCATTCATTGAAGTCTTTTGCTGTAAGAAAAATATCCGTCCGGTTTGAAATTCCATAGTGTTGCCGTCTTGCAAAGTTATTTAGTCTTGCAGAAGATGATTTCTCTTTTTCGATGAAAATTCACCTGCTTTCATCTCTTTGAGAAGTGTTTACTGTTCGAAAGAATTTATTACACAATTCGTTTTTCAGATAAGAACATTAATACATTAAGAAATGAATACTATAGTAACCGAGATAGAAAAATAATTTTCTAGCAACGTTTACACACAATTACTAACATCGCGGATAATTCATCGTTTTTAATCAGTTATTTTTCTCATTTATTATGAAATATATGTACCTTGTACGCTGAAGGGATCAGAATACAATACAGAGGCTACATCGAACGCAGTTGTTTGATAGAACTTGTAGGAAAAGCGGCCAAAAAACTGTGGGTATAATGCGGCTGTTCATGCATGAACCACGAATAAAAAAAGCAAAAAAACCGGCATGTTTCACCTATGATACACAGCGTGAAACGCGGAAGTGTTTCACGCGTGACTTCTTTTACATG